AAATTTTAGGAAGTTGGGAATCTGAAATCTCTACCAACGTACGGCCTCGCAAACGTGGATTCAGCCTTCACGCACTCCCGGTTGAGTACCACGTACGGCCCGTGAAAGTTTTGATAGAGGAATTATCACCTCGTGCGCGTGAAATTCTTAGTGGGAAATTCCGCAAGTTAAGAATCAGACAACATTTCAACTATTTTTGTACAGACCAAATTGCAAAGCAGTGAAAATCATTAGCAGACAATCGTTCGGTAGACAGAATTGCACAGAAAGCATGATCACACCGGCTGCCCTGGTGCGCGCCGCTATTTATTTGCTTTTGCTTTTTTTTTTTTAACTTTTCTCCATAGCTTCAAATTTTTGACTTTACTTTTTTTTTGGCTTTTATTTATAGACTCGGATTTGTTTCATTTGCATTGCTGTTTTGTTTCTTTCTCTTTACTGCTCTTCCCAGTCCCTGTCTTAGACTCCTCGTCCCCCTTCTCCACCCTATCCTGAAATCTTGCCTGCAAAGCATCTACGATCCTCTTCAACCCCCTCTCCCCTTAAGAGCGCTCTGGAAATAAGCAATATTCCAGTTTCTTTTCCTACTCCGGGTATCCGTGGCAAAAATTAGCAGCACCCCTCCTCCTCCGTCCTATCCAACAGTCCCCTCTCCTCTCCGAGTGTACGTGATCTAGCCAACCAACACAGTATTTACGCTATGTAGCCATTAACACCTATCCCAGTCCTCTCCCTTTGCTTCAAACGAAATTCGCAGCACCCGCCTCCACACTTGCCACATCCGAACTCTCGCCACTCACTGTGACGTAGCCTTAATTGCCATCACCAACAAAGAATTTTCGCAATTTGTGTATGACGGCGGCCGAGCCGAGCCGAGTTTTGGTAGGTGCCCAATTTTTCCACGGTTGGCAAAGAATTATACTGCGAATGTCCCCTATAGAACGAAGGTTAGTTATATTGTGTTGTGTACAAAATTCTCTGATTTGTTAATTTTACAAATTTTGTTGTAATTTTCGAATTTTAAAAAATGCGTTCCCCTCATAGTGGCTCTCGGGAAAAGTCCAGTCTTCACTAAGCTGAGTTTTGTCCGAAGCTGGGCGGTGGTTGTAGATTTTCTGCGAAAACTCGGCAGGAACGGTCTTTTGCTCCCTTCCCCTTCACCCATTGGCATAGGCAGCAACGCTGCAAAAGCCCGATTCTCTTCATAAATAAAACTGTGGTAAGTCAGAGTAGCATTGTTACAAGTCTATTTCTAGTTTTTTGTAGGAGCTAGCGAAGATTCGTTCCTTCTCCCCCCTCCCCCCCTCTTCCTCCCTCTCGCCCCCCTCCCCCACCTCCTGTCTCTTCAACTTTCACTGTCCTACTCTCCTCCAGCGTTCGTCGTTCCCCTTTCCTCCCCCTCTCCCCCTTTCCCCTCCTCCAAGGTGGCCGTCTTAGTTCTGCTCCATGCATCTACCGTGCAGCAGCCAGTTTCAGTGAGCGTCGAATTGTTTATCGCTTTTTCCGGTTACATGTTAGTTTGCGGTCTTTACAAAGTCCTCTTACATGATTCGTTTCGGCAAGCAGGCTCAATGTGGTTTGTTTATGGCGTGCATACTTAAAGCATTCGGAAGCACTCGATGTGTTCCTGTTCTTTCAGGAGAAGCTGCTGCTCACGCGGGAACAGTAGCTGAGCTGCGCGACGCCTGGTGGCCACCGTTGTGATGGGTGAGGACACGCGGCGATACATCTGTACGTTACTCGAATCCTCGAACAACTATTCAAAGCATTACTCCCCTTGGCCATAGGCCCTACCGAGTTGGGCATACTGTAGCACATACATACAGTAACCTAGGTAGCGATGCTCCAGCTTTGCCGGTGCGATCAAACGTTTTTGCACTAAACTTGAAGCAGTCGAATTGTCGGCAGTGTAAATTATTGCTGATTTGCAGCTTAACATGTGTGCTCGTGTTGTTTGCAATCTTATGTTCTTTTTCTGCATGCAAAAAGAAAAGGGGGCCGGCTGGAACGATAGTATTGCATCATTGGGCCGCGTGAAATTTAAACTTCCAGCATGCATGATTACGGCAAAATTGCACGAAGAGGAATGGAAAAGTAGTCGCTACCGTTGTTTGTTGGAAATACAAATTGGTCAGTAAGAAGATGTGGAGAAGAAAGCATGACGAAACCGAATAAAATTTTCGTATACCCATACGTGAGGACCAAGCATACTTAGAAATTGAATTTGAAGTCTACCAAAGCTTACCTTGTTGCCGGAATACCCGGACAGACGCAAAGACACATACACATGGGTTATCACAATATGCGTTTTTGCTTTCACATAATTATGCAGCCCAAGCTGGAATGCATCAGGCTTGCCGGTGCGGCCGTACGTTTTGCATCAGACTTGAAGTACTCAGGTGGTTAACTACGTGGATGATAGTTGCTTTAGAACTACCTTTTGCGCTCACTAGCGCGAATCATCGTGAATTTTGCATAAGGGAAATGAACAATTTTCGTTTAACGGTCGTTCATTGAAAATAACTTAGCTGTTCAGAGAGCAATTTTCCCGCCAAAATTTTAAATGCCGGCACTGAAGGACTACTCATACCGGGAGACTGGGTTTGATACATTTATGTTGTACTTGAACAGGAAACATTCTTTTAAAATTTCGGCCTTCCAGCTTTTTTGGTTGCCGAGTTAGCAGTTTTCCTGACAAAACTTTCACCTACCCGTACATGAAAGCCACGCACATCTAGGAGGTGAAATTGAAAACTTTAGCTCACACGTGCACAGAGAATATCCTTGCAAAGTTTCTGCTCTCTATCCTTTCTGGTTCCCGAGACCGCTTTCTCGCCAAAAAATTTGCATATTTTTTAAGGCATCCGTACGCAGCACCCAGGCGTACGTGTGTGATGATATTAAACGGGAGGGTGGCACAAGTGATGAGCTCATACTTCCGAATTTCAGCCTTTTAACATTTTTGGTTCTCGAGCTGAAAGTGGGTGACAAAAAGTGCGAACATACAGACATACATGGCTTTTTGCCAATTATGCGTTTTTGCATTTTCATATATGCAAAAATGCATAAAAGCGCGTAACAAATAAATTCAAACACATACATGAAGTTTTGCCGTGGTGCTTTTTTGCATCAAATCATTTATGCAAAAATGCATCAAATAATGCAAATTTGCACAAAGCAGTAATTGGTGGAAGTTATAAAAGTGTGTGTTGAAGTGCGTTTTGTGAATTGCAGCGCTGTTGACGATGTGTGACGAGGATGACGACGAGGTACTCGTGTTCGAGTGTGGCGCTTCGCTGGCTGCCAGCGCATTCCCGAATTTTGAAGAGATACGCCGCTCTGGGAAATTATGTGATGTGGTCCTTGTAGCCGGCACACTCAGGTCTGTTCTGGATTTTCACTCATTAACAGTGAATGGGTGTGATTTCTACGCTGCGTAGTACGTCGGCGTCTGTGCTGTCATTCGGCTAATTTTGGTCCGGAAGTTTT